AGTTGCTGCTATATTGTAACAATGACTGTTTTCAGCTGAAGAGTAATATTCAGAATTCCTAACCAGGGTTTGAGGACATTTCCTCATTTCACAGATAATTTTGCAAACCCTAGGATTTGGGGTTTTTTGTTGTTGTTTTACAAACTTCCCCAGAGGTAGGGCTCAGTGTTAACTTTTGGTTGCTCCTGGAAATTCTCCATACCATCCAGCATCAGGTGCCTAACACAGGTGCTCTGCACCACTCTGTGGCAGAGTGGTGCACTTTCTTTAACTTTAGAGGATACACAGAAAAGCAGTCTACTATGTGTTTCCTATGGAGGAGGTCCACCCTGCCTAAATTGCACTGTTAGCCATCCAGTTAAATACTTTCCCTAAAACTGCCTAAATTGCATAGTTAATACATTAGAAGACCATTATGAGGAGCTCTTCTCTCTTAAGTTCAGGTTTCTAAATTAAGGTGGGGCAGATCCCCACCTCGCAGATTTTCAGTTATATTCATTTACAGAAAAATATGTTTGTCTTGTACTGGGAAACTTGTTCTAATACCATTGTCTGAAGAGAATCAATTTTTCATTATTATTTGTGCACAAGTGTATTTACTGAGCAGAACTGCATCACCTGAAGTGCTCTATAGTCTCAGAACAGTGGTTCCAGCTTTACTTTCCAAGCAGATGAGTTCAGGAGCTCAGTGATGGCAATGATTCCCAAGTAACCGATCTCCCCCCTTCCCCCATAGCACCTTTTCATGTGTTTTTCGTGTGTGTAAAGTATAGATACAGTAAGGACCAGGTAGAAATGTTCACCCTGATTAATGGTACTCAATGAGAGCAGCGTAGCTGGACCAGCTAAGGTGTTTTCTAACACAGGAAAATACACTCTAGCCACTCTGTCATCTGAGAAGCCGCTGCTGGTGTACTGATGGATGAATGACTATATGTTGTATCCTCATATATAAGCTTTTAGAAGCCAGGCTGTTATCACATTGGAGTACTTCCTCTGAAGCTGAAGTGCCTGTGAGGACAGGACACCTCTGCCTTGATTTTTGAAATTAAACCTTGTATTAACATGGGCATATGGAAACAACAGCTTAGAATTTTAACTTACTGTAATTTGAAAAATAGTTTACAAAAAGCACAGTATTATAAAGTCTAGTTATGATACTTCTAACTGCATGGCTTTTCCTGTTTTCATTACCTTTACCATGTCTCACTCTGTTCTGTACAAAGACAGGCAGCAATTTTCTGTTCAACATCAGTGTTTGATGTCCTAAGATACATATCACTACATATTTTCTAGAGATTTTTACTTCACTCTTCCTTGTTTTTCAAAGGAAACCAAAATAAAAACTATGTACTGAATTTCATTTGAAAAAGTAGATGCCAATATCAGTAAATATATTTCTACGACTTTGTCAGTACATTTGAATGAACCGCCACCAGGGAAGGCCATGAGCATTCCCACATATAGTCCAATTTATAACATCAACCATAAATGATGCCTTTCATTCTAAACCATGTATGAATACTGGGACCAAGACGAGCCCTTGCAACTCTTACACCAAAGCACTACTTTAAAATCTAATTTCACAAAAATTGCCAGAAATTGAATTCCATTTTTTTCCTCATCATTATTTCTCTGTCAAAAGTGATCCATTTAGAAGCAAAACACTTTTCTCAAACTAACAAGCCAGTGCCACCCGGTGCTGAGAATCACCCATGAGCTGCAAGGAGGGTGTCCTCCCTGCCTTCAGAGATGTCTCACAGGTTTCTTGAAGTCAGCAGTTTTTTTGGAGATGCAAGCTAATGGAACATAAAATATAGGGACGCTTTTTTTATCACTGTAAAATTATGATTCTAAATACCCACAGGAGTTCTGACTTGTTAAATAGGAAAAAGACACTTTTACATAATCACTAACCAGAGAAAAGCTACAAAAGTGCCTCAAGCACTCAGCCAACAGGGTCTTTGGGGTAAGAGGGCCTTTTAGCACTTCCCTTTGGTTTAGAAGATTAAAAACACTGCAGATTTAAGGAGCAACATCAGTTCCCCTGCTGCCCTGCTCTGTTCATCACAATAGTATCTGAGCTTTGGAAACCAATAATGGACTTATTCTGATAATACCCATGCATTGTTTGGAGAACTGAGGACAAGAGAGGTGAAGTGAATTGCTCAGAGCACAAATGAAGAGCATGATGAAGGCTACAACTGAACGCAGACCACCTGAGGCCTCTGCCAGTACTTCAGATACTTTTTTTTCTTTCCCTTTGAGCTCTCAATGCCCACACTCTCATCTCTCTCTTATGGTACATTAAAATCATCTTTTCATTGAAAAATAACAAATGCAAACTATTTTTAAAACTGTATTAACCTTCCACAGCCTTCTGGCTCACAACCTATGCCTGATGCTTAGCGTGCTTTCACAAGAGAGGAGTGAGAGGTCTGGATATCTCCCCAGTGGTTGCCTGTCCTTCTGCCCTCATTTGCTCTCAGTTTTTCTGCTCTCATCAACTAGAAGGCTCTCTCTTTTGAGCCTTATAGTTAAAATAATCTTCTTGTTTTCTGTATACTAAATACTTTCTTCTTATCAGCAAATACTACTGTGAACAAGCATCTCTACAATTATTAGTGTTTAATCTATTGAAAGATCCATGGAAAAATAAATTGACTTTTTTCCCTTTCCTTATCACATTCTACCTGCTGTAGAGATCTTTGGCCAAATCACAGCTTTGCAGAAATAAATAGTTGCTGTATAATAGATTCTGTATGAATATAAAAAATGAAGCAAAACGAGCAAAGTTTTCTAGAATCAAAAGGATCTGAACTAAATTAATGAGTCCTAACTGGGGGCTTTAATGGGACTCAAATAAGGAATATTGGCTAAAAAAAAATCAGAAGTGTTTTCACAAGAGTGAGTGTCCTTTACTGAATTTACACTTTTTAATGCAGATTGATGATATCTGGACACAGAATTAGGAAAAACACAAAACAAAGCCAAAGTACCAATGTTGTCAGGGCAAAATTCTGCCACTAAATCAAAGTTACAGTACTCAGATGCAAAACTCATTTAGCAATGCCTGTGCAAGTGAAACTTGACTGTTTGTTTTCGTTAAACATCTTCCCTTAATCACATTCCTTTCTTCTCATACTCTTTTCTTCAAAGAACACACCATGGTTGGAGTAGAAAGTGAGTTTCAAATCTGTAGGGTATGGCCCAGTTGAAAAATCAGTAAGATGAGCTCACCCACCCCCAGGCTGGCACTGCTGAAGAAGCTCCCACCACAGAGAAGCCAAGGTGCCCCTGGTTCTGTGCAGGGAACTCCCTCCTACTGTGAGAGCTCCCGAAATCCTGCACCAGCTTCCCTGTTATGCCAGGTGCTGCCAGCTGCTGACAGCACAGTGACTTCTGTGATGGGATTGAATGACTCCTGGAGAATAAACTGGAGCACCACGGTCATTTCCGAGCACCTGCACCAACTCTGAACACAGCACAAGAGGTATCCTGCAGGGCCCCACCAAAGATCTCTGCAGCCCATACTGGGTCTTCAGTAGTGGCAAAAGGAGATGCTGTTCGGGGAGGGCATCCAGCCTTGCCCACTTCTGCAGTCTCTGCTTCATACTCCACCAGCATCTACAGTTGTTGCATTACGGTATGCTAGAGTGTACATACATCCTTAGTCTTTTTAATATCCATTTATGAATCTGTTGCCCATTAATTTATCTAGGAAACCCCTTTTTGTCCCCACAAATACTGTCACCTCCTGGCAGAAGATTCCTACTTTCTGTGTAAAGAAGTATCTTTAAAAGTCAGTGCCCCTCAGCTCTTGTATTGCAGGATTTAGGTGAACAATTGTCCTGCATTCAGCTTATTTACCAACTTTGTGATTTTACATAACCCAAACCCACCCTCTTGCCAGCCTTTCTCTCCCAGATGAGCAGTCCTAGAAATTTTGGTCTCTGTAAGACACTGATGAATACCAAACAAAACTGGTCTCAGCACCAAGGCCTAGGTGACCTAAATAGTGACTCCCCCACTCTGAAAAGTGACCGTTATAACAATGCTTACATAAGCTTGCAGGAATTACAAATTCTATTTAGAATTGTCTACAGCAAGCCATGTCTTTTTTGTGGTTGACAATATTATCTGAGAGGCACAATTTTATACCTAGCATCATTAAATAATTTGGAACAAGTATTCTATACGAATTACCACATCTTGATTTACTTCCATGGAGCCCCAACAATATCAACCAGTGGCCCAATTTGCCTCTGCATGAGGAAGCATATTTCCTCATAAACATTAAACTGTGGAGAGGAAACTTGTTTATAAAGTGAGTGATATTTTGCACAGTTGATCTGTATTTTATAGAAAGGCCACTTCTAGAAGACTTGTGTCTTAAGTGGACCTCCTTTAAAGCCGAGAACAAGGTTTAGCGATAACACATCCCCACATGCGGTAACACTTTTCATCTCAGGAGAAAAACATCAGAGCCACTGAGCCACCATTTGCAGGCAGATTTCCCTGATGCTCTTTTTCAGTCATCAAGTCCAATAAGCAGCCTCACTGAAACCTGCATCTAGACTGAAACCTGTTGATGGCATTTACTGGCAGATATTTTTCTTTTTTATTTTGGTGTCAGTAAAAGGGGTTTTTTACCTACTGGTACATGCAACTCAAAATGGAGCTGACAGCTACACCTGAGTACCTCTGACATCTCTGACAACAGGCAGTGCTGCTTCTGCTCCATCACCTGGCAGGCACATATGTCTGTTTTGCCCTGTGCAGCACCTTGCCAACACTTGTTGGCTAGACAGCGTAATCATTTATAGTATTTTTATTTGTAGCAGTGCTAGATGGTTTGGCTTCATCTGTCAATGCCCTGAAGGGTTGGGGTCTGGCATCAGCCCCTGTTCCACTTGTCTGGGTCTTCAGCTAAATTATTTCGTCCTGAATTAGACAGCACCTCGGTTTAACTTTCACCTCTCTCTCTCTTTCCACTGAAGGACTGCCAGAGAAACACAACAGGAGAGCACTGTGAGCAATGTCCAGATGGCTTCATTGGTGACGTTGTCGGAGGAGTGCCCACGTTCTGCCAGCCCTGCCCCTGCCCCTTGCCAGCACTTGCCAAGTATGTACCGGGTCTCTGGTTCTCTCTGATCTGGGCTGGCT